GTGCTGATGGGAGCTCACAGCAACCAAAATGGTGGCCATGCTCTCACAGTTAAAAGAATGGGAAGTTGGTCTCCCATATTTTGGTTTCAAAGTGTTGGAGGGTATGATACCATTGTACAAAACCCCGGGGCATAGCAGTGATAAAATAACACCCATGCATACAAAAGCACGGTGCAGTTACCTTTTGCAGATAACTGAAACTTTGTGGCACCAAGCATAGCAAAAAAAAGTGTACTGTCCCCAATTCCATCCTCTCCTGGTGGACCAAGAGAGTCTCCTGGAACACTAGGCCAATGGCAAAAGAGCCACCATGTCTTCCATTGCCATGGCAATGATGGGCCTCAGCCAAGTCAGCAGAAGGAACAGCACAGCCATGTTACCATGGCAATGCCAGCCATGTTCCTACAGGAAACTGGAGAGGAGGACAGGAAGTGGAAGGATGCAAGGCTTGCCTGCAGGTATTTAAAGGCAGGCAAGCCAAGACGGAAGACAACTCCAATATGGCTCCTGGTGGGCTCTGCAGCACAGAGCTCATATGATACAATACACCTAAAGCACTATTATATATATTTAAAAGCCACGGCTTCCCCCAAAGAATCCTGGGAACTGTAGTTAGTTAAAGGTTCCGAGAGTTATTAGGAGATTCCCAATTCCCCTTCACAGAGCTACAATTCTCAAAGTGGTTTAACAACCAGTCCTCTTTCCTGGGGAGCTCTGGGAACTGTAGCTCTGTGAGGGGAATAGGGGGTCTCCTGACAACTTTCAGCACCCTTAACAAATTACAATTCCCGGGATTCTGTGTGGGAAGCCATGACTCTTTTAAGCGTATGGTGTGGATGGATGGAGAGAGAGTGAGAGAATGAGAGGGGGGGGGGAGAAATGGGTGACTCAACCCCTGCCTATCTAGGGGCCGAAACTTAGAAACACAAAGCTGTGACTCAAACATATTAATGTGTGTAGAGCAACTAATTGTCCCATATTAAGAATGGGGACATACAGTGGTACCTCGGGTTACATATGCTTCAGGTTACACACGCTTCAGGTTACAGACTCTGCTAACCCCCCGGAAGTAGTACCTCAGGTTAAGAACTTTGCTTCAGGATGAGAACAGAAAAAAGCGCAGCAGCGGTGCGGCAGCAGCAGGAGGCCCATTAGCTAAAGTGGTGCCTCAGGTTAAGAACAGTTTCAGGTTAAGAACGAACCTCCGGAACGAATTAAGTACTTAACCCAAGGTACCACTGTATTCAGTTCCTTTTGGCGAAACTAAGAAGTTTTTTTAAAATGATAATATTCCCCTGAAGAAGTACAGTTGCAGTTCAGAATTCAGGCATGCAGCGGCGTAGCGTGGGTTGTCAGCACCCGGGGCAAGGCAAGTAATTTGCGCCCCCTAACCCGTGGATTTGCGCCCCCTAACCTGTAGATTTGCGCCCCCTAACCCGTGGATTTGCCCTAACCCCAGATGTTGCACCCGGTGCGGCCGGCCCCCCCTGCACCCCCCACGCTACGCCACTGCAGGCATGGGAGTCACTGGACACAGCTGACATCAGAACAATTTCATGGACCTTATTACCTCATGATCTGAATGGTTAGCAACTTGCCCTTCAACTCATGGAATGACAGCAGTACCAATTACACAACTATTGGCTATAAAAAATGCAAGGGGCAGCTCATCCTAGATGCAAGAGTCCTCCACTTATGCATTCATAATATGTATATACCGTATTTTCCTGTCTATAGGACACCCCCATGTATAAGAGGCCCCCTATTTTGGGGGACTCAGATTTAAGAAAATGGGGAGAAATGGCCCTGTGTATAAGATGCCCCCCTAATTTTTTATATTATTTTTTAGGGGGGAAACCTAGTCTTATATACAAAAAAATACAGTAGTTGCTTTCACCGTGGCTAGTAACCATTGTGATGTTGTTGTTGTTTTGCTATGCTATTATGAAACTTACTATGCTATTGTTTTGCTATGTTGTTATGAAATTGACTTTGTTGTGTTTATTTGAAATACATCCCTGTTTCTTTGTTGCAAGCCGCTTTGAGCATGGATTGGGGGGGGGGGTAGAAAATCGACACACACAAAAAACAGTTAAATGGGTGGATACTTGCTCATGTAAATGTCCCTGGCCAGAGGTCTGCACCACCCAGCACACACATCATCACAATGGATCAGAAAATCTACAAATACCAGTACAGTGGTACCTCAGGTTAAGTACTTAATTCATTCTGGATGTCCGTACTTAACCTGAAACTGTTCTTAACCTGAAGCACCACTTTAGCTAATGGGGCCTCCTGCTGCCGCCGCCGCACCACCAGAGCCCAATTTCTGTTCTCATCCTGAAGCAAAGTTCTTAACCCAAGGTAGTATTTCTGGGTTAGCGGAGTCTGTAACCTGAAGCGTGTGTAACCTGAAGCATATGTAACCCGAGGTACCACTGTAACTGTAGAGGCAGGTTGCACTGCAAGAAGACCCAATGGGTTTCATGCTGGATCCAACTCCTTGTGAGGGCTATACTCAACAAAAGGAACAAACAACAAAAGGAACAAATTTAAACTATGCAATACAAACTTTTTTTAAAGTCATCTTTAATGACTCTGGTGTTAACCAACATCAAATATTTCCCCTGCTGAAGACCCAAATGCTGGCAAGCTAGACTGTGGACCTTCTACCAAATGTGGTTTTACACTCTGTTACTAAGCATGTGATAAATTTGCCTAGATTAGGGATGGGAGAACTTGGTGTCTCACAACACCTGCAGGGCCAAAACTCCCATCAGGCTCAGCCAGAAGGGCCAATGGCAAGGGGTGGCATGACTCACAGTCCAAAACCTGGAGGGTCACATGATCCACATCCCCGGCCTACTCCTTGTTTACCAAGCGTAATGAACACCTCGGCGGAGACAATAGGCTCAGATGACTTTTATATGAAGACGCAGGTTAGGACGACAATAAGCCTATATTTGTTTTGTTAAAAGCGCCTTTGGGGACATTCGTTTTGCCAGCAGAATACAGTGGTACCTCGGGTTAAGTACTTCATTCGTTCCGGAGGTCCGTTCTTAACCTGAAACTGTTCTTAACCTGAAGCACCACTTCAGCTAATGGGGCCTCCTGCTGCCGCCGCGTGATTTCTGTTCTCATCCGGAAGCAAAGTTCTTAACCCGAGGTACTATTTCTGGGTTAGCGGAGTCTGTAACCTGAAGCGTCTGTAACCTGAAGTGTATGTAACCCGAGGTACCACTGTATATCCCCTGTCGATCACAGTCATGTGAATGGTAAACCCCAAGAGGAAATGGTTAACTGATCAGAAAAAAGCAAGTCCCTTTTCCCTCTTGTATGGAGTTCTCATTAATCCAATACAGTATAAGGTAGCACTTGCTTACATTGCATCTGCCTCTCTGTTGTTACGTAATAACTGGGCCAATTACCACCCAACAATCGACTTGCCAGATTGTGCACTCGGGTGCCCTTTTTTTTTTTTTGCCTCCAACTGAGAACAGCCCTCTGCAGTCTCTGCTGCAATCACAGCTTTGCAGTTCCCTTGAAACCCAGCAGGGAAAAAGGAAGGTGGGGGGGGGGGAGGAATCTCATGCATGGGTAAAGATAGGCAGTCAAGCAGGTACTGCATGAGGCTGGTGGATAAAGGTTGTCATCTCCTTCTGCAGGGCTTTTAGGAGCATCTTCCCACAGGGCAAGACCCTGGAAATCGACCCCGGTGAATGCAAAGCCCAAATGTCTGAATGCTGCTGAGATGTCTCTTGGATATGATCATATCCAGCAGCTTTGGTGCTGGGGCAATTGGGGGGGGGAGAGACACAGGGGTCCCCGGATAGAGATAGGGCATAAGCACAAGAGTCAGACACTGGTGCAATACACTGAAGCCAAGGCCGCACATCTGCGCTCAGCAACCCAAATACAACCAACAGGAGGGAAACACTTCCTCTGTGGTCAGTCATTTGCACTCAACTCATGGGGGGCTGCAGGGAGAGGAGCTTACAGCGCCATCCTACCCATGCCTACCCAGAAGTAAGCCCCAATGCATTCAGTGGGGTTTGCTCCCAGGTAAACCTTAGCCTTCCACCACCGGACTAGCAGCTGCCCACCCTTCCTGACAGCAAGAGACACAACCACATAACTCAGAGACCTCCTTTGGAGCCACTGGCAAAATAAACGAAGCCTGGCTACACCAAGCAGAGGAGCAGCGCATCCACAACAAGGCTCCTTGGTCAGATAGATCACTGCAGCAGCGGAGGGCAGCAGGCTCCTGGCAGCATTTCCCCAACAAGCACAAGGCGAAAGGCACCGCCAGCCTCTCTGCACGCAAGCGGTATGCAAGGGGGGAAACTGCACATATTTGCAAGTGAAGCTGCATAGGGAGGCCTGGTCACTTTGCAACTTGGTGTGCCTCACTTCTCTGGCTCCTTCTCTCTCCCTCCCCCCCCCTCTTTTTTTATTTTTTTTGCAAGATCATTCGCCCACCTGAGACTTGTTTTTGGCCCTCCTGTGGCCAGCAAGCCTCCTCAAACATTCCCTCAACACACACACACCCCGCTGCCCTCCCCGGCGCACGCTCCAACCCCCTATAGACCACCGACATCAACACCACCTTTGCGCAGGCCTTCCTGGGCGCAAGGCGCGGAGAGGGTTAACAGCCGCCGATTGACACCGCAAGAGGTTACTTCAGGCACCCAGGCACCAGCCCTGCAAGAGGAGCCACCTCGCAGGCTCAAACCCACCCAGGGGAGACACACACACAAACACACACTTGACAACAGTCCCGAAAGGCAGCGAGGAGCGTCCTGTTAAAATAAATAAATATAAAGGAAGAAAAGCAACCTGACACCTCTTCAGAAGCCCAGGCAAAATGGAATCTGCTGCTGCTGCTGCTGCCTCCCTCCACCAGCGAGGAACAGCGGCTGCGGCAGCAACAGCAATAGTCAAAACACACACAACGGCACGAGGGGGCAGCGAGATAAATGGGCGAAACACCATCGCCTTACCTTGGCTGCCTGGCTGCAAGCAGAGCCCGATCCCCTCCACTTTCGCGATTCTCACGATGCTGGCAATTTCCTGAGAGGCTCTGCAGCCTCGCTCTCCCCTCCTGGAGGAAGCGTTCCGCTGAGCTGCCGGGTAGCTTATTTCCTAGTCTTTTTAATAACACCTGTTTCAAAAAGAGGTGGTGGTGTGGGGGTAGGGAGGGAGGGAGGGAGGGAAGATCGGGGATGGGGATTATTATGTCATATTGCTGGGAGAAGAAGGCGCGCGATGTTTTCCTTCTCCGAGGGAGGAAGGGGGAAGGCAGGTCGTCGCCCCCCCCCAACCCTGCCCTGATGGTTTGTAGCTCAGCTTCAAAACAAAATCAATGTGGGAAAGAGAGAAGAGGGGAGGGGGGGAGAGGAGAAAAAGAAGAAGAAGGGGGGGGGAACCAAACACCCTAGGCAAGCTTAATCATGGGAGATTGTGCAGTTTGTGAGCATGCTCCAGCCGGAACCAATCCTCCTCTGTTATTCTTCGGAATAAAAATAATCCACGCTGGAGAAGAAGGAGAAGAAGCCCACGCGGAAGCTTCTTCCTGCCGCCTCTGGACAGCGAGGAATAAATTCCGCCCGGAGAAGCCGCATCACAATCGGAATTGCTGCTTGCTTTCCTTTGCCTCCTCTGCTTCTAAGAGGCAAAACAGCCGAGCTTCTCCGTCTATCTCCGCGGCGGTGGCTTTTTCATTTTTTCCTCTCCTTCCCCCACCCCCCGGCTATCTCTAGGCCTTTTGGAAAGAGGTTTGAACCTTTTAAAGATACAGTACACCGATTAGCCTTTTAAGGGAGGCCGGCGGAGGTGGAGGGTGTCGGGTCTTTTAGTGGAGAGGGAGGGGGGGCCTGGCTGGCTGGCTGGCCTAAAATACCCAAGCAAGTGCCACGCCACTGAGCGCCAGAAGCGGGCACCGTGGGTGGCGAGGGGAGGAGCCGGGGAAGCGAATGCGTTACTTTCTCCTCCTTTTGCAGCCGTCTCGAAGACTTTCCACTCATGTCCTACTTGGAAGTAAGCTCCCTTTGCATTTGATGCAACTTCCTTATTATTATTGAAAACAAAACACCAAACCCTCAGCAGTCGAGCCCTCTGGATATTTATCAATGGAAGTGTACTGTACTTCAAAGCAGAAGGAGGCGACAATCCTTCACATCCGCTTCCTTGGGAGCAAACCCCGCTCAACTCAATGGGGTTTGGTTCCAAAGTAAGGCATGCACACGATTGCCCTGGTGGTAGCGGACTTCCTCCAGTGCGAGGCTCAGGCTGCGATCCCCTCAGCGTGTTCATTTACAAAACAAAAGCAAAAGGCCGATCCCTACGCCTGATCTCTCAGAAGGAAGCCCCGCTGTATTCAAAGGGTCCAGTCCAATTTCATGGCGCAACCAGGCTGCGCATTGACTGAAGAATAATGTCCATTGAGCAAACTAGTGGGGATTTGCTTATGCATAAGCTCTCATAGAATTGCGCTTGTATCTCTTACAGAATTTTTTCATGCGTTTACACGTATTACGCTTAACTAGGGGGTAAGTTTTCCTGAACACAGTGGAGCTTACTTGCGAGTAAATATACATAGCCTTGCACTACAAGGCTGAAATGCGCATTTACCTGGTAGTTAAGTTCCGTGGAGTGCAGTGGGGTTTACGATCCTAGTAACCACGCAGGGGATTGCTTCGCAATTGAGTTGCCTTGCAGCAGAGTTCAACGGGGCTTACTGCAAAGTAACCGTGCATCGGATTGCCGTTTTACTCCTGAGTGAATTCAATAGGACTTTGTCTAAGAAGGCATGGCTAGGCTTGCGCTGTTTAAGAACTGTATCACCCAGCTGCTGGTGTTATCCTCAGTCGCCTCCTATTGGTATGCGGCCCTACAACACAATCCTGTACGTGTAACAAGAGCCAATACTTGTCTACGCAGAAGTAAAACCTAATGACTTTAATGGAACTTGCTCTCTGCTAAGTGTGCGTAAAATTGCAGCATTAATCGGCACTCACACGAAAAGAACTATACCCACCGCACATTTAAAGCATATTTCTGCCCCACCCCAAGAATCTTGGGAAACCAACACACAAGATTACTTCCGTCGTGTCCACACACCCATTTTCATTGTGTGGGGGGCAATTAAAATGACCGCTGCAGTCTAACCACCCACCCACTTGGTTTAGGTTCATTTCTTGTTGCAAACCGACCACCCTACTCAAGGACAACTTACCCTGTCAAAAGGAGGCTGAGGTGCTTTTTGAGAGGATTTCCCCCTTTCTCTTCCCCCCGCCTCTCCAAATTTGGCCACCAGAACCAACATCAGCCGCCAAGCCACCCGTCGCGATCCAAACCGATGCGCCAGCTGGGTCCACTTTTTATTGTTAGGATGGTTAGTGGAGCAGCGCGCGCTTTGCGCTCGGATCTCCGCCTCTGTACTGTTCAGCAACCCTAATGACGTCCCGGGAAGAAGCCACGAAGCCCCTGTGCCGCCCGAGGCGCCTTAAGGAACTTGGACGAAGACCTGAGCTGTTCTCTGGGCACGGGCTCCGACGCCTCCCTAGAGCCGCTCCATCTTTCTCTTCCGGCGCCACACGTCGAGCCGCCGACCCACCACCGGACCGGACTCATCCCACAAACGCCCAATCTTTCGCGGGTAGCTGGGTGGGTGTATCCCTCAATCCCAGGCCTCCCCAGCAATCCTTAGGCTTCGGACCTAGTTTCGAGCCCAAAGCTCAGCCCCAGGAGACAGGGAGGGATGGGCCTCCGGAGCACGTGCAGAGTGCATCGGCCACGCCAGAGCTTTCTCGGAGCCCTCGAGGAGCACTAAGCGGTGGTTTGGAGACAGTTTTCCAACAGCACCAAAACTCAGCCCTGGAGAGTGACCACATCTAATTGGGGTTGGTGGGCGTCTGCTGAGCCCGTTGACCGCAGCAGGTGAGCGGGAGCTCCATAGAGAACTTGGAGACCTGTTCAGAATCTGTTTTCAAATTCGAGGTAGCTTCCGGGCATGTGCAGAATGCATTATACAGCCGCGGGGAGCGTTTTTCCCAAGGCCCTCTTCATAGGAATTGAGCCCTGGGTGTCCTCTCTCTCTTCTTGCTTCCCTCCTCCCTCCCTCCCTACTTGCCCGTCTCTCTCTCTTTTTTTCTTTCAGCAGGACGAAATGATCATATTCCGTGTCTCGCTGCTCCGGCGATCGCCAATTGGCTGCGGGATTGCAACCGGAAATGTCAACAGCCTCTGCTCGGCTGGCTACAGCGGCAGCGCGCCTGAGCTCAGCAAAATCTTGGCACCGACGGCTGCCGTTCCTCCTCTCTCCCCTGGGTTCGCGCGCTCTCGCTCTCGTCCACCCAGTGCCAGGTCACTGTGTCAATCCAGGCGAGAGAACCTTCATCAAAAAGGGGTTTAGGATTGGCCAACGCCTCGGGGGGAAAGGGAAAGTGCAACTTGCAAGGCTATCCCTAACCATCTCCAGACTCTGGTTGGGAATCAGCTGCTCTGATCGTCCAAGCGAGGAAGGAAGAGAAGAACACAAGGCCTCTGGTCCCCAAGGAAGGAGAGACGATTCAGTGATAAGATTTCTTACCCGCCCTTTGCTTTGGGTTGCAAGAATATAATCTACAGTGAGAAAACATAATATGAAATGATGCAACAATATACAGAGGGTTTTATTTTTATTTATTTTTTTGAACTATTAAGCAGTTTATAAATTGTAGAAGTTTTTGATTTAAAAAATACAAAGCAGTTTATAAATCATAGAAATGTGGAGTTGGAAGGGACCCCAGGGGTCATCTAGTCCAGCCCCCCAAAATGTGGGAATCATGGCTAAAGAATTCCTGAAAGATGAGCATCCAACCTCTGTTTAAAAACCTTCAGTGAAGAAGAGTCCACCACCTTTTGATGGAGTTCGTTCCGCTGTCAAAAAGCTCTTTCTCTTAAAATGCAAAGAATTTTAGAATGATTTAAATCATTTTTTAAAAAATAACAACAGAGAAGCACACAAGAATAAAAAGCAAAATCATTCCAAATGGAACAGAAGAAAATAAACTCAGCAATAGAGGCGGGGGGGGGGGGTCTCACAAAAGAACATAACTTAAACTCAGTCGGTAGAGCATGAGACTCTTAATCTTAGGGTCATCCATGGGTTCAAGTCTCACACTGGGCAAAAGTATACCTGCATTGCAGGGGGTTGGACTAGATGGCCCTCGTGGTCCCTTCCAGCTCTATGCTTCTCTGATTCTATGAAACTGTCAAAGGCCAGGGTAAAGTGGTGTGTCTTCAGCATAGGCAGAAGCTATGGAATGAGGGTACCGGATGCATCCCTGTGCAGGAGGGAATTCCACACTTTAGGGGCTGCCACAGAGAAAACCCTTTCATGAGACATTTTGTGGGTGGTAGAATGGCCAAGAGAGGCCCCTTTGCCGATCTTAACACTTGAGAAGGTCCATAGAAATGGAGAGTGACTTTCAGATATTTGTGGTATAACTTGTTTAGTGCCATAGGCATGCGTATGAGCAGGGCAAGTGATTGCCCTTCCTGGGTGAACTGTAATTCCCAGGTTCCCAGGTTCCGTTTGGGGCAGGAAACGATAGGTTTCTTGCATTGGTAGAACCTGAGATATCATAGAATCGTGGAATTGTAGATTTGAAAGGAACCACCCGGGTCATCTAGTCCAACGACCTGCAACGCAGGAATCATTTGCCCAACGTGGGTCATGCTCCATCAACTGAGCTGTGAGACAAAATGTGTAGGCACTGATTGATTGTTTGTGGAAAATCATTGTTTAAAAGCCCCCTGAAAGAGCTATCCAGGACTTTAAAATATTTAGAGCAGAGGTCAGGAATAGCCTGGATTTTCTCTTTCCTGCCAGACCAGCTTGCTTTTATCAGATTTCACAAAAACACAAGAATTTAGGCTATGTCGGACTATTTCTACTCAGGGTGAATCTGCAGGATCTTCTGCCTTGCTGCATGAGACCTTTCACTAAAGATCCCAGGGCTTCAACCTGGAGGCCTCTGCTACAGAGATGAGGTTTTTATTTCTTTGTTTCCATCTTTTAGGGCAGGAGTGGAGAAACTTTTTCGGCTCAGCAGGCCAGATCCTTATCAGGTCAACTTTCATAGGCCGAATTTGATGGGTGGGTGAGACCACCCACCTGTCAATCTATCACCTGACATCACAGTGACACTAGGTGATTGGGAGCTTGGAAGTTCCAGAGTTGGTGAGTTATTACTACCAGTTCTCCAGATCGAACTCAGCTTAGTCAGTAGAGCACATCACTCTTAATATCAGGGTCGTGGGTTTGAGCCCCATGTTGGGCAAAAGAGTCCCACATTGCAGGGGGTTGGACTAGATGACCCTCGTGATCCCTTCCAACCCTACAGTTCTATGATTCTATGACCTTTCAATCCCTAAAACCACCCTGAATCTATGGGGTACCATATGGACCATCTTCTGGCATTTTCACATTATGAATTAAGATGAACTTGAAGGCATTTGGCCAGTGCCTTTTATCTATTTTATGCAACACAAATTTGGCCAGCAGGCACATTTTGAATTTTGAGAGGGGGGCACCAGTCCCAAAATAGCTACCTAATGGTATGGGATGTCATGAAACAAAATTAGAGAGACAGCCATCTCCAACAACCTGATGCTTACCACAGCAGCTAGGTCCTGCTGGCCCTGATTGTGGAGATCACACAATATTTATTGCAGAGAGAAAGAGAGAGACCATTGCTGTCTCATTGCAACGGGCAGCATTCCTTAGTACCAGAAAAAATATACAAGGTGGCCACATCATGCAGCGTTTGCGTGACGTCACAGGTACGCAGCGCACCGTTGCTGCCAAATATTTGGCCCAAGGCGGTGCCTCCGATACA